CAGCGCTGGAAAGAAGCTGCTGCCGCCCCTCCCGCACTAGATGTACCCCTCCACACGTGCAACTTCTGGGGACGACCCTGCCGATCCTGTATCGGCATCTCGAATCACCTCAGAGCTCACCAACGAAAGTGACATCCTTATTAACTCATATCACAGTATCATAGCTGGATGATCGTCATTCTCGATCCAAAGTGACAGCAAAATAGTAGTAGTACTGGTAGTAGTGTGTGTGTGTGTGTGTGTGTGTGTGTGTGTGTGTGTGTGTGGACTTGTTTGCATTTGTTTCTGTGTATGCCACATGTATAGTATCCCAAATGTTTTACTGATTATATGGCATTAACTGACGGGCACAAGTATAACAGAGAAGAGAGAGAAAGAGCAAGATAAACACCCCCCCGATCTCGAGTACCACCGCATCCCCGCCCCCAACAACCATTTGGTACGCCACACCCACAACCAGCTGTCGCACAATAACAAACAACATGGACGCGTCAAGGTTGGATTTAAAACATGGCACCTCAGAGCTTAGGCACCACTGTTAGGGAGTAAAATTCAATCAATCAAGTCTCTAAACATCACACACAAATTTACATCATATTCTGTTGCTTCAGAACAATGTTACACCACCAACGGCGCACAGAAAAATACTTGTAGTATGTTCAACAGGTTCAAAATTGTGTAAGAAGTACATGAAGATTATGTGGTCATATAAAGACTTAAAGATACATCTATAAACCAAGGTGAATCCAAAGAACGTCTCCACAACCTGAGCAAGTGTTCTCGTCTCATAACAGTGCTCACAAGCGGGATATATAAAGCCAAGCATAAGGTAGATCAGGAAGTTACGTACAATTGCTGTATCCCAGAAAATGTGTGACGCAAATCCAGTAACCCAATCCCTTTCGTATCGATTTCGAAGATCTGGATACACACTCCTGACATCTTCGTGCAGAGTGAAGTTACTGTACTGTACCAAGAGTAAATCTCAGTTCTTTGAGGTTTCGTGGTGAGGGTCAGCGTTCTCTCTCTTTTGTAAACATCCAAATCAATAGAGGGAGCTAAATGGCGTCAGTCTGGTGCTGCAGTCATAGGGAGCCAACCAGACGGCCGCACTCACATTAGTTTTATCGTACATCACAAATATTTCCTTTAACAACCTTATCCTTATGAACAGCAAAAATAAAATACATTTTCTCTCTGTGTAAGACGTCGGGAGAAATTTTTTTGAAAACCTAGTGAAACTGCATCTACGAGTGGTGAACATTTAATGGACAACACTGCTGTTGTACTTTCGTAAGGCATATTTTATGTGACCTCCCCCCACCCCCCCCCCGGCCACTGTGGGAGACCTACATGGGTGTTTCTTCACGGTGGTATGAGTGAGAGGAAAATAATATCAGCTTCCGGAAAGAGATGATATATAAAAATTAAAGCGGAACCAATCAATCTCTCTCTCTCTCTCTCTCTCTCTCTCTCTCTCTCTCTCTCTCTCTCTCTCTCTCTCCCAAGCGACAGGTCAAAATTATTTCTTCAAATAATATTTACTCTATCAATGACGTCAGATTCTAACCTTTCCGGACAGAGGCAGGGAGGAAAATTGTTGACATTTGACGAAATATTAATAGGGTTATGACTTTTCAGGCGTAATGTGTGTGTGTGTGTGTGTGTGTGTGTGTGTGTGTGTGTTTAATATCATCGGAAATGTCACACCAACGAAAGATAAATCGTCAAAGGAAAATATTATCACGAACTAAAAAAAACCAACAAACTTAATGTGTGGCGGGAGTTTGGCGTGCATTTATCTGTATGTCCGAGCCACTTCTGGTTAAGCTATGAATAAACGTGTGTAAGTCTATCCGGCCGAGTACTGTGTGGTTTTTATGTTTGTGTGTTAGTCTCTCTGTGTTTGAGTTCTATGTTGCATGTTTACGATCCGTTTGGTTATGTGTATGTATGTGTGTGTGGTTGTGTCTATATTGGTGTATGCTGTTAATAGCGAATGTGCTTATACAAATTTTTCATGTTTCATACAGTTGTATATGTTGAGTATAGTTGTATATATTGTAGGCATGCTTGTATGTTGCTGTACTCATAATTGTGTATCATGTACCTGTATGCATTGCTGTATATGTTGTATATATTTCATTGTATTTTGTATGCTTAGGTTTATGTATTATGTGTATATGCATACACTTCAGTTGTGTATAATTTGATAATATTGTCCTATGTATATTTTAAAATTGAATTTCTTAAAGACGATAATTTAATTATAATAATTTAACCCATTACGAGCGATAATTCCCCACGCATAACAATTTAACATCCTTACGCATGAGAATTTAATCCCTAACGTACGATAATTTAACTTCATGAGGACGATAATTTCACCTTCACAAGCACACATTGGCTTCCCAGAACATAATAATTCAGTTCGTTAAGGATGACAATATTATCTCTTATAATCCCACAGCTTGAAGGACTGAATCCCTTATGATGAGGAATTCACCACACGTTGAAATATGACGAATTAACCCGGCAAGATGGATAGTTTCATCATCTTAAACACGTCAGGTACACAAAGAAGACGGCAGTGTCATGCTCTTCCGCCTTCCTCATTTGTTAGGTATTTGGAGCACTATAACTATACTTTCTGAGTACTTTAACTATATATTTGGAGCACTATAACTATACTTTCTGAGTACTGTAGCTATATATACCGAGTACTGCTATAACTATGCTTTCTGTGTACTATAGATATACTTTGAGTACTATACCTACATATACTGAGTACTGTTATAACTATACTTTCTGTGTACTATAGATATACTTTGAGCACTACAGCTATAAATACTGAGCACTACTATAACTTCTGTACATATTCTGAGTACCATTGCTATACCTGTTGAGTACAGTATCATACTTAGACGTATATATTCTGATTAATATAGCTATACATTCTGAGTACTAAAGCCATACACACCGAGTACTATAACTATACTGTCTGAACACTATAACTATACATTCTGAGTATTACAGCTATATATTCTGAGTACTACTATAACTACCGCATTATCATCTGAGTAATATAGCATTCTGAGTACTATACATAACTCATCCTGTGGCAAAAAATAATAATTATACATAGAGCTTTATTGTCGCTTAAAATGCCTTCCAAAGTAGTGATTATAATTACGATACTTAGAAAATATCGATGTTATAACGCGCCCCATTAACTAAGGTCTTTGAGCGAGTTCGTTTTTTAAGTTAATAAACAGATCACCGAGTATGTAAACACTCAGTAAGGATGGTCTCGTTAGTTTTTTTGTAGGTTGATAAATATTAATGTGTTAAAATGCCCCCACAAAAAAGTTAATCATTATTACCGAGATGTTATAAAAATAAACATTTTCTTTACGAACCAAATTGTTTATAATTACTACACTACATTGAGTTATTTATCTGAATCTTAATACTGTAGTGTGAGTTTCTTTTTGTGGTTACATAAAAAAAATATTACAGGGATAAAATATAGTTTTAATACCGTGTTTGTTAAGAGAACCTTGGAGGAGATCACCGTATGTAAATATATTTCACAAACAGGAACTGGTCAATATTTTTCACAATTTTTTTTATGCGTAGAAAAATATAACAAAAAGGGTCAGACAAAAGGCCCAGTGTGACGTATGTGTCCTCAGTGACCTGATGATTAAACACCTTAACACTAACTAGAGGAGGTTAGGTTATCTTATAGGTTATATTAGATTATGTTAGGTTATGTTATCTCACATTAGATTAGATTTGGTTAGATTATGTTGTTAGGTTAGTTAGGTTAGATTAGGTTAGGTTAGGTTAGGTTAGGGTGTCACGTTAGGTTAGATTATGTTGTTAGGTTAGGTTACGTTAGCGTTAGGTAATTAATCATAAGGTGAAGTAAATTAAGGGCTAATCTTCAGGTGATCCGCTCTTACCTGTACTTATTTTTCCTCATGTTTACCTGGCAAAGTAAACAACCAGGTGTGATGAGCCATCCTTGGCGCGCTCCACAACCTGGGGGAGATAACATGAATATTGAAAATGAAGAAGATGTATTGAATATATTCTTACGATAGATATGTACTTCATCTCTCGGTCTCGAATATTCGTTCCTTATGACAAAAAAATCACCTGAAGAATCTCAACCCCAGTTAAATTTCACTTAAATATTAACTACCCTAACGCTACTCTAACCCAAAAATATTCAGTTTGTTTTTAATAAGTACTCAATTAAAAGTTATTTTCTGTTTATAAATTTGTTTGTTATTTTGCGCAATATCTGCTTACAGGTGATAGCTCAAGAAATAGCAGCTCAAATACCATTAATATATATTCTAAGTCACTGAACAGAACTTTCAATACAGTCAAAAATTTATTGAATACATATTTAACTCAGTTCATATTGTCTTTCCCTAAGTGAACCTTCATTTCTCCGTCTCAGGTGCCGCCAACTCTCACATCCCTACCAAGAAATTAAAAGGCTCCTTCTCTTTCAGATTTGGGTTATGTGGTAATTTTTAAGTGAGCCAGCAGCTCTATACACCGCTTTGAACTAACCTCACTGACACTGTTTATTTACCTGCGAGAAAGTGCTCTAACCTGCCAGATCCACTTAATTTGACCTTCACAAGACTAAATTAACTAATTTCGATTAAATGGCGTCAGTTTCATATATCACTTTGTTACTGACTTAATAACGGATAAAAAACATACTTAGCTAACCATTAACAGCAGTGGTCGAGCACAGCCCAAACCCTTCGTGGAAACTTCAACATATTAAATTCCAGTGAAAATGATTCAGCATATAACCCGCACCTTACACACTGACCTTCGTAACCTCACTGGCCGTCTGCTGTATTGACCGCTGTGTCCTCCTCTAGTGTCATGTACACTGATGAGAAGCAAGGTTTTATACACACCCCCTCCCTCTCCCTCCTATGGTTCCTCATGCTGGCGTTTTATCTCAGATGGGTAGCTGTCTCGGGTCTTGTGGCAAGGAGGAGCCGCCCCACAACCAAAGGCAAGTTGTTGTTGTTTACTATGTGGCTTGACGTTGGTGAGTAATCTCTCAACTTTGATTCTTAATACCGGCAACAGTGTTTCCTGAGCTTTATAACTGACAACTTTTGCACTTATTCACGCTCTGGCATGATGAATAATAACGGTGCAGGTGAGTTCTACCTCCCAGTCAATGCATAATAATACAGTTATTCATACTCTAGCATGAAGAGTAAATTGGTCACAGGATCTCTCTTATGGCTAATGAATAACAAAATCGGTGTGTAACTTATACTGCACTCTGGCATAACGCGATAACAACAGTGGCCAGACACCTATTATTGTCTGGGCTCCAGCAGCGCCAATAATAACAAGGGTGAGGTCTCGCTCACTCGCCCCTGTTGTCGCTACACTCTTATTTAATAACAGTACTGTTACCGCAAGCAGCAATGAGTAGGATGACACATAAACAAACATTATGTTAGGCGGTAAGTCATGTCATGTTTATTGGGTGTGGCTGCCAGTATACAGTATGTAGAGTACGGAGATGGTGGAGATGAGAGGATATGAATTAGATGGAACATTCATCGCCTACACACACTTTCTATATATAAACATGTGAGTCACTTAAGTTGTAAATGTTTCGTGAGTTTTTTTTGACAATGGTGGTCAGCATGTCATGATTGGTTGTATTTTAAAAAAGTGTAAACAAATTCACGCCCAGGTGGCCCTTGGGCCCGCTATCCTCGTTACACAGGGTCAACCATTATTTTATTATAACTGTATTAGCTGACTGACTCTCGGCTCCCGATAGCATACACATGTCATCACTCTCTCTCTCTCTCTCTCTCTTTTTTCTTTCTTTCTTTTTGGGTCCCTCTCAAACTTTTCTTTTCTCTCTTGCTTGTGCCAAGGTACAGTACACAAGGTCAGGTCCCGCGCCACTCCTGTTGCCTCAGGCTTTACACTTCTGTACATAAATAACCGTAAAAGGTTAGTGGGTAGTGGCGAAACGGGAAATATCTCTCTTCTTGTCTGACATAAACAAAGCTGCAGTCATAAACTTACACGAAAGACTCGCGTTCAGATGACACTGGACAAATTAACATGCACACACAAGTTACTACATGTTGTGGATGTACAATATACAATACAGTAGTAAAAAGGATTGGGGTACACTTTGTACAACAGTGCTGATGGATCAGCAACTCGCTTTCTGTTGAGTGCTAAGAATCAGATCAGCGCCTGTGCGACCACCCTGCATCATAGTAAAACGGCCTATACTGTATGTACAAAAATCTATCTATATTAATGCAAAAGGCTGATGTGGAGCCCTTCAGAGGTCCACTTCATGAATGGTCTCAAGGATGTGTGGTGCCAGATGACAGATAATCTAAAAGTGCGTCCCTGCCACCATGACACAACGTTGATACATTTAATTATATAACAGTAAAATCCACACGTTGATTCTCAGTGCACCATTGGATATTAAATAATGAAAATATTCGACAACAGATTATAGTCCTGTTCATAATGATAAAAAAAAACGATATAATTGGCATTTGTATAGTAATAGTTATTCTGTTCAGTGTTATAACTTGTCTAGCGATACTCGAACTTCGTACTGTACTGGCTTTACATTGTTAGATGAACTGTTCAGTAATACTGTAGCTATAGTCCTCGCAGATAAGTCACATGTCCTTAAATAATCCCTATCATATCCTTGATTGGCTACCAATGATGGGTGGGAGCGCCGTACAACTGTACAGTATAGTGTTCAAACAAGAAACACTGGAGCAGCGCCCCCAGGTAGTGGCCGCATCTCTGAAGGTCATCTTGGGATGGTGAAAGTGGGTTCCCTAGACCTGGAGCAGTGAGGATACAGGAAAATGAGTACTGAGGCTTCTGTAAATAAGAATGCAGTTTGGCCAGTACTGCACTCGCCGTCTCCAGTTCCCCAATTGTTTAGTTAGTTATCCGCTCACAGTTGGTTATACAGGAAGCGAGTGCATGCTGCATTCATTCGGCTCCCGCACCCCATGAAGTGGAAAAGATAGGCGGGGTTAAATAACCTTGGGTTAAATGAGAAGTCTATACAATCCTTATTCATATATACAGCCTGTTTAATAATAGATAGATGCAGAGAAATATTTACAACAAATACAGCGACTGGATCACTTTATCTTGCGACAAAACCAATCTGTTGAACTAAAGGATCGATGTGTTGTATTAGAAGACAGCTCTTCTGTCCAGAGAAAGTTACGGCCTCTCTAGTGACAACATAGTAACAGGTAGTTATAACCTGTCAAATAAGTGGTTACAATACATCTGGTGGCAATTATGATCCACTGAGCAATAATTAATCAGGAATGCCGAATGTGGTTACCTAACACGACTAGGCTGAAGGCTAACAACAACAACAATAACAACGGCAAACACAACATCAACAACAATAAGAACAGCGAAAATAACAACAATAACAACCATAATCACAAATCGACAATTGTCTGCCGACTTCCGGTAATTTTATACAAGTCTGGGTAATAAGACCTGTTAAACAACAACGAAGCATATAAATACCACCCCCCTCCCCCCGACCACGATATAGTGTTTGAAGAGAAAGAAAACACGTTATTGCCGAATTATATGACCCCAACATGACACATACACTCACGACAGGAAAGAAGACAGACACTTAAAACCGGAAAATACTGAAGGAACACACTGTGCATACCAGACTAGACAGGAAGGCGACTAGTCATACGAAGAAGCGTTGTTTACCAGGAGGTGACATCACGCATTATTATACAGTTTGTTAAAGCTGTATGGGGTCGGTAATTCGATTCCTGGACTCCCCCAGTACACCCAGCAGAAAATAAGTAGACCACCTAAGTGAATGCGGTCGAGTGCAGTACTTGTGTTGCGCAAAATATCCACCGTTAAGAAATAGGTAACAGGTGCCACAGTTTGCTCAATAAGTCACAACACAAAATATTAACCCAGGTGTGCTTTAATGGTTATAATAAAGCTGTTCTTTAATATCTTGACCTGAGAATATCCTGCGAGTTGCTCATTAATATAGGGATAATATGCCCCTTATGTGTGGTTTCTACATACTGTAGGTATAGTGTGGCTTTTCTTGGTCAGCTTTCAGAGGCGGCTTCTGCTAATTGGCAAGCCTAAGTCTAGGATAGACCTTATGGGAGATCTGTGCAATAATTAAAATCACCTACCACCACTTGTAATATTAGAGCAAAGAGTTGGAAGATATTCTACAATCTGGGTAATTATTTCACAAGACTAAAGCGGGTTTGTTTACATGCGCAGAACAGATTTTTTTTGTTCCGCGCATGACCGCGCTGCGCGCTGGCGTAGTTTAGTAAAAAGGTAAATATTTTGCATGACAAGTTTCGCATAAAACCGGCTATGCCTTAACGGGCAGTCATGCCTATGAGACCCACTTTCACAACACTAAGTAACGCTAAGCAACATGCGTAGTACATAGTTTGTTACTACACTCTGTAACACTAAGCAACATACGTATACACAGTTTGTTACTACACTATGTAACACTAAGCAACATGCATAATACATAGTTTGTTACTATACTAAGTAACAATAAGCAACATGCATAATACATAGTTTGTTACTACACTATGAAAAACTACGTAACGCGCGTGATATATTTAACTACCTTGTAATGCCGTTTACCAGTAACACCCATTACTACTATGTAACACATCGTACAAATTGCTGTACCATGTAACACCATTTATTACTGTCAACAGGGAGACTGGGGGCGGTATGCAGATCCAGGGCAGCGTAGTGCTCATCACAGGGGCCGCCAGAGGCTTGGGCCGCTCCTTCACCGAAGCCCTCTTAGCTAGGGGCGCCAAGGTGAGTGCTGGGGACTGAGAGGGGAAGGTGCTGGGGAACTGGCAGGGGGAGGGGGCTACTAGGAGCGGTTGTGGGGGGCTAGGGGAAGGAATGAGTGATAAGGGGCTGATGGATGATGAATTTCATGCAAATCTTTATGTGTTGCACCAACACCCTCATACTAACACACATACACCGCCACCCTCATACTAACACACTAACATACACAACCACCCTCATACTCACACATACTATCATACACCACCACCACCCTCATACTAATACACATACACAACCACCCTCATACTCACACACACTATCATACACCACCACCACCCTCATACTAACACATACACCACCACCCTCATACTAACACACATACACCGCCACCCTCATACTACACACATACACCGCCACCCTCATACTCACACACACTATCATACACCACCACCCTCATACTAACACACATACACCGCCACCCCATACTCACACACACCATCATATACCACCACCACCCTCATACTAACACACATACACCGCCACCCTCATACTAACACACCATCATACACCACCACCACCCCTCATACTAACATACACCGCCACCCTCATACTCACACACACCATCATATACCACCACCACCCTCATACTAACACACATACACCGCCACCCCATACCACACACACACCATCATACACCACCACCCCCATACTAACACACATACACCGCACACACACCATCATACACCACCACCCCACATACACTATCATACACCACCACCCTCATACTCACACACACTATCATACACCACCACCACCCTCATACTAACACACACTATCATACACCACCACCCTCATACTCACACACACTATCATACACCACCACCACCCTCATACTAACACACTTACACCACCACCCTCATACTAACACACTTACACCACCACCCTCATACTAACACAATCATACACCACCATCCTCATACTGACACACACTAATATACACCGATATTTAGATATATTTTATTAGTTGTCTGATGTGTGGTGGTGGTGGAGGGCTACAGGCCGAGTTTATAAAGATTGTGTTTTGAAGACCATGAACATTGACGCATCTGAGTAAATAACATAAAATAATAAGCCAATATACTCGTGTTGTCCAAGTTAATTGTGTCTACTGCATCTCTCAACTGTTTCGCCGTTTATCCAATCTTATTCTTTTATGTCTCACCGTTTATCCAGTCCTCCTATCTTTATGTGTCACCGTTTACCCAATCCTCCTCTCTTATCTGTCTCACCGTTTATCCAATCCATTTGTTCTTATCTGTCTCCACGTTTATCCAATCCTCCTCTCTTATCTGGCTCACCGTTTATCCAATCATTTTTTCTTATCTGTCTCCACGTTTATCCAATCTTCCTCTTTTATGTGTTTAACCGTTTATCCAATCCTCTTGTCTTATCTGTCTCGCCCTTTATCCAATCCTCCTTTCTTATCTGTTTCGCCCTTTATCCAATCCTCCTTTCATATCTGCCGTTCCGTTTATCCAACCTTCTGCTGCTTCCCATCTTCTTAAACTGATGATACTAAATAAGATTATATATACAGACGGGGAAACTTAATACGAGGGAGAGAGACAGTTGAGTTACTCTTTCCTTGTGTGCAATAATGACTGGGCGTGTGTTTGGCGACCATTCTCGTGGTTTAACACACACACACATACAGTGACTCAGTGGTCCTAACCCTCGACACACCAATGAGAGCTCGTACACCCTCAAGTTATCTCACTATTTACATAAACACATTCATCTGACAGTCACTGAAAGACTGTATGTATTCCTTCCATCGTTCTTGTTTGGTCGTAGTTTCAAGTATTAACAAGTGTACGTATTTGTTGACGAATAAAGAAAAAAAAGGAGTCTTGTTTTCACTTTCTAATTGACTGGGATAGGACGCCGGGTGTTTGCTTAATTCTTTTCACTTTTTTTTTTACGAGTTCGTCGTTCATGGGTTGATTATTAGTACTGGAGGAAACTCAGAGAAAACCTGTCATGTTACGGTAGTGTCACATTGGATAATAAACACCCTTCTCAAGTCCGACCCATGAAGGACTGAACCCGGGACGTAGCTTGAGAGGCAATAGCGCTATCGTTTTATTATTAAGTGGGCGTCAGGTGTGGGATGAGATATGTTTATAATTCTGACACACACACACACACACACACACACACACACACACACACACACACACACACACACACACACACACACACACACACACACGAGATAAGAGAGAGTCTTGAAAAAATATTTATCTTAAGTTTTGAAGTAGATCAAATGGACATGCTGAGCCACTAGTCAACAATTTCGAGGGCGCCTGACGTAGTGTAATTATGTCAAGTGGAGGGGCGGAGGAAGGAGTAGGGTAAGGGAGGGTCAAAAGAGGACAGGAAGGAAAAGGAGGGAAGGGGAGTGACGAACGAAACGTAAATAACACTGGGAATGGGAAGGATAAGACGTGTCAGATGGACCAATGAGAGATAAGGTGGAGGGAAGGAAGGGGCAGGGGAGGGAAATGGTAGGGGGAAGGAGGGACTGAGTAGAGAAGAGGTGGGGGGAAGTAGGGGCCGAAGGAGGGAAGGTGGGAGGGACGGGAGAGACAAGAGGAGGGAAGGGAAACTCAAGAGGAGGAGTGAAGGAGGGAACCGGAGAACGGACAAGGTGGAGGGAAGGGAGGAGGAGAAGGAGGAGGGAAGGGAGGGGCCGGGGAAGGGACAAGGTGGAGGGAAAGGGGCAGTGGAAGTGAAGGAAGAAAAGGAGGAGGAGGGAGTGGCATGATGGAGATGTTCAGATTGTTCTTAAGAGGGCGTGTAGAAAAAATAAAAATAAAGTATGCATCTCGACCAAGCACTTGATACAACCAACCTGCCTCTCGACCCGTTGTTGATGTTAACTGGGCCAACGTGCCTCACTACTAAAAAGGACTCTCTCTCTCTCTCTTTTTTTTTTCTCTCTCATCAAGGAGTCTATTTCTTTTATATGAAGGGCTGCCCCCCCCCCCTCTCTCTCTCTATTTCTGATATTAAGGAGTCTCTCTATCTCTTTATCCTGTATGAAGGACTCACACGCACTTTAACTAAACATATCTCAGGTTCTCTCATTCGTCTTCCCACTTGCACCCGGCACTTATTATGCCAGTTTAACCAAACAATTCGCACAGTTACGAATATAAATTGATGCTGGTATGATTAAAGAGTAATGTGAGAGTGTGGAGGTCCCTGTGGCCGAGCGTGAGGGAGTGGGCTGGCAGGCAGTGTGTCGAGTAAATCAAACTAGTCGGTGGCTCATTGGCAAGAGGGTGGGTGGTGAAGTGGGTGGTGCGGGTGAAGTGGGTGGTGCGGGAGAAGTGGGTGGTGGTGGGATGAAGTGGTGGTGTGGGGAAGGGTGGTGTGGGGGATGGGTGAAGTGGGGGTGGGGAAGTGGTGTGGGGAAGTGGGTGGTGTGGGGAAGTGGTGGTGGGGAACTGTGGGTCATTGGTAAGGGTGGGTGGGGAAATGGATGGGTCATTGGTAAGTGGGTGGGGAATGTGTGGGTCATTGATAAGTCGGCGGTTGGGAAGTGGTGGTCATTGGTAAGGGTGGGTGGGGGGCAGGGTCAGTAAGGTGGTGGGTGTAAGGTGGGGCAGTGGGCGAGTGTAGGGTGAGAGAGTGGGTGGAGAAGTGGATGGGTGTAAGGGAAGGGGATGGCTGGGGCAGTGGGTGGAAGAGGTGAAGAGGATGAGAGGGACAATGAGTGGTGCAAGGTGACAAGGTGAGAAGTGGGTGGTGAAGGGTAAGGATATGGGTGTGGCAGTGGGTGGAAGAGGGTGGGGCGGACAGTGGGTGGTGCAGGGTAACAGGGTGGGTGGGTGAGAGGGTAGGTGTAGGGTGAGAGGGTGGGTGGGGAAGTGGGTGGTGCAGGGTAAAGTGATGGGTAGGGTAGTGGGTGGAGGAGGGTAAGAGGGTGGGAGGGACAGTGGGTGGTGCAGGGTACGAGGGTAAGTGGGGAGGGTAAGAGAGTGGGTGGAGGTGAACACTGGCATGTGTGTTCAACTGTTGCAACATCCATCGGCCAATAATGCTTGCCGGCTCGTGTGTGTGTGTACCATCACTAGCGAGGGAGTGTAGACAGAGAATGTATGCGTGAGTCAGGCACAACATCCACTCTTTCCCCTTCGGGACTCTCCCTCACACAAACTGAATCACGAACACTTTTAGCCAACTGTTAAATTAAATCTCCTGTCAGAGTGACTGAGAATAACTTACTGTATTTAATGAATTCTACACCAGGCAGAGGGCAGGGCCAGACGCTGCTCCTAATAAATCCCTCAACAGCGAGCTGATATACAGAACCTGATATGAAGTTGAGTACAGTTGTGTCCAGCCACACCTATACACGTGTCTTACCACAGCTACACACGTGTCCAGTCACACCTATACACGCGTCCTGCCACCTCCTATTACGTGTTCTGCTACATTTGGTTACATGGGTCACATATACTTGGTTTACAAAACAATGAAGCCTCGAGAAGGGCGTTGTTTACAAAATGGGCTGATACTCAGTTTTAAATTTCAGACACACCGTGCTAAACCAGACAGTCTTAGAATGGACTAAACAACTCTTTCTTCTACAAAAAAAAAGGGATCACCTAAGGATCAGCCACTCTAATTTATTTCAGCTAAGATTAACCACCATGGCGCTCACCTAACACTCCAACCCCCACATGGTAACGTTAGGGTGTTTAATTATCAGGTGAAATAAGCTGGGACTAATCTTCAGGTGATCCGAAAAAGTCGTATTTGAATGAATGAATGAACAGTTAATTAGTTTCCTTAACTCTTACCCGGTTGGTGAACTAGATGATCTAGCGAAAAAGTTAGACGTTAGTTACACTGATGCTATTAATCTATAGTTTGTAATGTATTATGGTTATCTACATGGTTGTTCCTCTACACAGAATTACGAGAAAAAATTGAGGAATCACGAGAAGATT